CTCATGGGCTGTCGACGTTCGAGCGACTGGAGACGGATAGTCTCACTGTTCCGATGAGCCAGACGGTGAGAGACTCTCCTCCTCCTCCTCCTCTCCTCCTCCTCCCTCCTCCCCCCTCCTCCTCCTCCTCCCTCCTCCTCCCTCCTCCTCCTCCTCCTCCTCCTCCTCCTCCCCCTTCTCTAGTGGTTTTCCTCCTTGTTTTCTTCTCATCAACTTCCTATGTTTCTCTCTCCTTTTCTTCCTGGTCTCCTCCTGATGCAGTACAGATGGCAGCCTATTCGCGTGGGGGAGGAACTACGAGGGGCAATGCGGAGTGAAGGAGAAAAGCTCCGTCCTCTCCCCGACCCGCGTGGACTGGCGGAGGGAAGTGGAAATAGAGACTGGGGAAATGTCCCTCCTCTCCGTCTCAGCAAGCAACAACCAGACTTGTGCGATAATGTTTCATAGCAGCAGCACTCACTCTCTCCTTCCTCCTCGCTCTTCACCGTCGGGTTATCTTCTCTGCTGGGGCTGTGCTAAGGATGGTCGGCTGGGACTTGGGGAGGAGGAGGCTCTTCCTGCTGATGTCGATGGTGAACCTTGCTGTCCTGCTCCGAGACTGGCACGACGACACGAAGAGGATGAGGAAGAGGGGGAGGAAGAGGACAAGAAGGAACAGCAAGGGGAGGAAGAGGAGGAGAAGGTTAGTAGATTATTCCAGCAAAACGTTTCACTAATCACTCTATGAAGAAGTTTCTGTCCAGAATCGTCAAAGTTGCGATGGGGCGAGATAAGATGATTGCGCTGGATGCTGACGGTATGAGACTTTGATGCCAAGGATTAAGAGAAGACGCAAGGATTGAGAAAGATGAGGGCGAAGAAATAGAGCAGAGAGGAGATGAAGGGAAGTTGGAGGAGGAGGAGGAGGGAGAGGAGGAGGAGGAGGAGGAGGAGGAGGAGGAGGAGGAGGAGGAAAGGGGTGGAGGGTGATGAGAAGCTCGAGGAAAAGGGCGAAGAGGGGAAAGAACACGTAGGAGGAGGATGGATCTTACTGGGACAAACAGGCAATCTCTTCTTCACCGGCAAGTTGGGCAACAACGGTAAGGCGGGTAGAGCTCATGAACATTGATTGATGTGTGCGAAGACAAGGAATGTCGCTTCAAGAAGATGCGAGCAGTCGTGGCCGCAAGTCAGCAGCCGGCATGTGCTCGTGACATCTCGTGAGTTCGGCCATGACAGGGAGGTGCTGGGGAATGACGTCGGTGTGCAGCCTCAGGGCTGAAGTTGCGGTGCTGCTGGATGGAGAAGGTCGGATCTGGGAAGGAGGAGTAGCAAGGGAGAGCAAGATCCTATCGCTCTCGTTGTCAACGATCTCAGGGGATGATGCCAAGTTCTCGTCGCTGAGCTGCGGTCGATTTCATTCCCTGGCCCTCTCCAACGGCTCTCAAGTTTTCTCGTGGGGATCGTTTGCTCGAGGGGAGCTGAACGCGGTAAAGAGAAGCTGGAGAAGGAAGGGTCGACTCAGAGTTGTTGGTAGGATATGAGCTTGGGGTTCCTGCAGAGCAGAATGTTGGATGTCATCTCCCTGCCTGCGTTGGGGGCGACGAAACATACGGGGGTAAGCTGTTTGCTGATTGCTGTTGATTGCCATTCTTATGAGCCAAAGGAGAGGAGGAGGATGAAAGGGAGAGGAGGAGAGGAGCGAGTTATGTTTTCACTCCTTCACAGGTTGTTTGTATAAACTGCAAGAGCGACAACATATCAGGCGTCCGGTACATCTCGATCGCGAGGGACGCGGACAAGAGGAGTATGCAGAGCCTGTGCGCGAGGTGTGTGGAGAGGGACAACATGTTGAAGAGCGAGGTAGAGGACAAGAACCTTTTGCTGTTCTGCTTCCAGGTCGCTCTTGATATGTTCAACCACCAACAGGTCCTCCTCGCCTGTCACCGCAAACTCCCGCCGCACTTCCGACCATCTGTGAGGGATTTGACGGTTCTTGCTCCTGCTGACGGCAATGCTCTGCTCAGATTGCAAATATCGACCTGACGACAGGACAAACTCACCATGTGTGTGCGGGACTGGTCATGCTGGACTTGTGACTTGATCCTCTGACAGGGAACGGGCTGCGACAGCTGCAGTGAAAATCCGATCGCCGGGGTGAGAAGAGAGGAGGAAGAGGAGGAGAGAGGATGAGTTGATCCTGCCTTCCACGCAACAGATCCGGTACAAGTGCTGCAACTGCGACCAGTACAACCTCTGTGCGAGGTAAGATGGGGCGACGAGACTGAGCGGGTCCTAAGGGCCTGCCGGGCCTGCCGGGCCCAACTTCACTGCCCATTGTTCTGCTCCTTCACCCCTTGCGCCCAGGTGGGAAGGCTGGAGAATCAACGGCTGACTTCGGTCTTGTCCTGCAGATGCTACATGCTCGACCGAGCGGCCCACCTCTCAACCCACCTCTTCCTCCGCATCCCACTGTGACCCCCACTGCATGCCCAAGGGCTCTTCCTCTGACCCCTGTGTCGGCAGATGCGTCGAGGATGAACCTCGTGGCAAGCTGCTTCCTCTGGTGGCTTGTCTTGCACGTTGCGGTCAATCATCGGCTAACAAGTATGCAGATCTACCCTCAGATCACGATTGACATCTTTGCGAGGAACAAGAACGGTGACTGAAGGGAATACACACATGAGACAAACTGCCAGAAGGCATGTGTATTTGTTCGATCTCAATGCAGCAAGATGCACTTTTGATTAAACGATTTATTGAGAGAGTATATCAAAACAGATAGCTATAGTAACAAGACAAGGTTTCCGCCGCCCGTATCCAAACCGCAATGGGAACAGGAGAGCGGGGAAGTACAAAATATTGACAATCGCAACCAGGTTTCACATGGTGGCGTCAAGACAAAAATCAATCAAGGATGTGAAGGAGGGATGACCTCATTGATGCTTTTCCAGAAGTTCTCCTCCGTCTCATCTTCCACAGAGAACTCCTCCTCCTCGTTGTGCTGGAACGACCAGCGAACTGCGTCCAAGTTCCACTCAGCAGGCGGCATGGTTGAGCTACCAGCAGGCACCTCCATCTTGATCTCCACCTGACCACGCAGCATCATCTCTTCCTCGATCTGTGGTTGTTGTTGTTGTTGTTGCTGCTGCTGCTGCTGCTGCTGCCATGGATCTTGCATGAACTGAGAAGACATCATGTCGTTGTTGGCAAGCAGCTCGCTCTCGTAGACTTGCTGCTGCGCCAACTCAAACTTGGAAACTGCTTGGACGCGGGGCGCATTGAAGGCAAAGCTACACGTCTGCTGGACTTGGAAGGGCTGCCTCTGAAGCTGCAGCGCTGTTGAAGGAGCCTCTATGCTGCTGAACTGAACGCTTATCTCTTGCGTCGGGGTTGACATCTGCGACGCTATGGAGCCCGAGGACTCGGAGCTGGTGGAGGACCAGCTGCATGGTCCCGCGGGGGAGTTTGTCTCGCAACCTCCGATCTTGACGGACTTCCTCTTGGGTCCAGGATTCCTACTCTTGAACGGCCATTTCTCGATGCCCAACCTTCTGCAGGCCTTGCGAATCGCAGAGAGGGAGATAGAAAGCGTGGTCGCGACGTCGCACAGGGGCATTCCATAGAAGCCTTCAAGCATCTTGCGGGTGAGAAGAACAGGCTCAATGTCTTTCTCCATGTCGGTGAGTTTTCTCCTTGGGCATACTTCCAATGCTCGCTCAGGTACTTTCGGGGGGGCCATGGCGGATATCTTTCAAGTTGAGGTGAACAGGGAGCTTGGCTTGCTTGCACACAAGAGTTGCAAGGACAAGAGAAGTCGAAACGAAGGAGGAAGGCAGGAAAGAACGACACAGAGCGAAGGCGTAGAGGGGAGGAATGTAAGGAGCAAGGAGCACGTGGAGGAACAAACCCAGGGGACGCAGTTGTCAGCCGCCCACTTTATGAAGTTTGTTGGATGGGATCGGGGGGAGAATGGGGAGGTAAGGATGGGGAAAGGTTGGGTGTTTGCGAGATGAGTGGGGGGGACCAGGGTGGGTGCTGTAAGGAGCGAGGACCCGTCGTGACAACAGCAGGAGGACGAGATACGTGATCGCACGAAATTGTACCCGAAACGTAGGGGGGAGGGTAATGGGGTGGTAGTGATGTTGGGTGGGTACATGTGGAACTCAAAAGTACGGGTACCTGATGGTGTTGGCAAAAGATAAGCATGAAATAATGGGGTGGTTTTGTGTTTTTGGTAGGGTAGTGGCAAATGGGTGCATCTCGTTCATCAGGGGTGATGGGAGGGGAGGAGTAGTGCAAGGACAGCAGGGGAGTACACAGTCAAAAGTTCTGGGGTAGGGTGGGTGCAAGAGGTCTCTTTCTTTTTTCTTTTTAGATAAAATCTTTGACTGGGGGTAGGGGCTCAGAGGGTGGGGTAGCTTCGGAGGTGAGGGGGTACATAAAGGAGGGGTAGTGCTCTGTTTCATAGTACCAGGGAGGTACGAGGTACTAGAATTGTTTCTGAAAGGGTCCAAGAAGGTGAGCGAAATTCGGTGTCTTCTTCCCTAGGGGTCATGAAGGAGACATGGGGAGGGGTGGGTCACCAGGAGATGTAATGAAAGGCTGTAATGAGGGTGTTTTAGGAGGTAGGGTACTCCGCCAATGACCGGTAGGTTGAGTCCAATTTGTATCATAACTTAGGGGTACTTGAATGATTTTCATGAAGGGGTGTTAGGTCGTGGTCAAGATATCATCCCGTGGGGTAGGTAGAGGTCAGAAATGGGAAGGTGGGGTGGTCTCAGGGGTAGTCCTATGGCTACTGGATTACGCCGTCTTAACACATGACTACCCCCTTCAATAAAGGACCCACCTCCGACTCCAATCGTTGACCTGCTCATCTCGGATAATCTCCTGGCACCTAACTAAAGGAAAGACTTTATAACTGATTTATACTTTTTCCTGACCACCCCACCCCTATAAGACCATCGCTTCAAATGGGAAAACAGGGGCGTCCGCGGAGCCCGGAAGAGGTCGCACAGAGAGGGTGCTGAAAGGGGCGTGATTGAAAAATGTAATCAATCCGGGATAAGATGCTGAAATCACTCCTTTTCACCTCCAAGACTGAAATCCGGGAGCCATCTCCATGGATTCGGTAGCATCTACTACCCCTGTGGAGCCCACTGATTAACTTAGTAAGCGGATAGGGGTGGTCACGGAATCGCGGCCCCCGTTAACACGGCTGGGAACACTCTGCGACTCTTCGGTACAAACGGACAGCCGTAATGATGCACTACAGTCGTGAAAGATGAGGCTATAGTCAACCTCGTAAGGGTTACAGTCAAGCCTGACGGACACGACTGGGTAAAGTTCCAAGTTGAGTCATGTATATCTACGTCCCCATACTATGCCATCATGGTCAGAGGCTCCGACTGGCCGTACCGACCGGTCTCAACGGTCGGAATCACGCGCGGCGAGTCCCATATACAAAAAAAAACATTGAACTAATCATTATAAAAGTTACTTTTTAACGTGTGACTTCGATCCGATCATCTTTTCACTCATCATCCAGTCCGACGGTCACAGCCCGGCCGCGCGTGGCACACCGGGCCGGGCTGTGACGGCGTTCCGAAGTTCCGACTCGAGTCACGGACCTTTACTCAAAGTCACGGACAGGCTGAAGTTTTACGGCCTTTTACTGAACTCGAAGTTTAATCGGCTCGCGGTGACCGTACTCCGAGGCTGCCACTCACTCAGCGGCCAGGGCCCCGGTCGCCCGGCGGGCCGGCCGCACTGAGAGTACGGTACTACCCGTGACCCGGCGGCGGCCGTGCCATTAAGGCCGCTGGCCGCGACTGCACTGGGCGCCGGCGGCCGCGGCCGGCGCTCGGAACCAAGCCTAATGAAGTGCCGCATGATCGGCAATATCCGGACGGTGACGGTGACATTCCGTTCCAATTCCCTTCTGGAATCTTTAGTACCAGGGCGTTTTGTTTGTACTGCCCTTAAAATACTTATTCCAAAGCGTTGTGGTATTTGTACGGAGGTCCTCAGGGCTCCCCATACATGAGGTTGTACCACAAAAGTCCCTCATTTTCTGTGAGGTTCGCATGGGTGGTTTCAGATAGTTTAGAGAACCGGTACGTTTCCCTCCGTCAGAGTCAGGGTGGGGTGGATCGGATTCAAGGGAGGAAGGATGAAATCTTAAAAGTATGGGCTCACCGTACTGGAATTGGCGTCGAAAAGTATCATATTCGATTACCGGTAAGTGGTCAAACAGCACCCACCCCTGTGGTCCATAGCTCAATGACCCTCTCGCAAGGGAAATTTGAATCAAATTACTTTGACCAAAGCTAGTACCCCCTACCTTTGAAAAAGCCTGAGTAGATGGAAATCGGAAGGTAGGGGTGGGTCAATTCCTCAACCCCACACGCCTTCTGCTTGAGCCACGACAAGGAGCGATGGCCATGATACCATGAGGACGTGTTGCAATCGAATTATCATGCGTGTATGCTTCGAATCATGTTGTATTGTTGCATAGATACAAGAAGGGTCTTGAAAAGAACCTACCTTGCATGAATGCAGCTCTGTTGTGGTGATGAACCAAGTGCAATGGATTCAAACTTCGATGTATGTCAACTTCTTTCGAAGTCAGGGAACATGTTGATCGTTAGCGAGATCTTGGTTCATCTCAGCCAATATCTAAGTCAACTGCTGTCAGAGGAACTGGGGGATATGGCCCATCAACTTTAGACTGGAATGACAGCCATCAATGTTATTATCAGAAGGAGAGCAGTTGCATCAACAAGCTGTGTTCAGGCAAGTTACTGATTCTAATGGCATGACTACATGTCTAGAATGTTTGTCAATCCAAAAGTTCTTGGATTGTTGCCGTGTCATTGTGGATATCCTGGCCCATGCACTGATGCCCTTATTTGTCGAATCGCAAAGCTGCAAGTGAGCATTCGCCTCGTCTGTTTGTTAACAGGCATGCATGTACTCAATGTAGCAACAAAAGATGAGTTTGAGGTCATTCAATTATCTACTGCCCGTCCCTTCCGCCCTATTTTGAAGCAATCCAAGACTGATACCCAAGAAGCAAGAAAACTTCTTGTATTTTGTGCGGTGTCACCCAGGTGGCAATGATCACATACTTGAACATCGGAGTTCAAATGCACAAGGAAGGATGGGCTTGTTGATCGTGTAGATGCAGTCCAGTAATGAACATGTCTATTTTCAATAAAAGATTCGAACTAGCATGCGCGATGGCAAGGTTTCTCCTCTGTTGATCGACTTTCAACAGAAACATGCAAGTCTTTTAGTACAAGCACGCATATGCCGCACATGTGTGTCCCTAAAGACATATGAATGTTTGGCATCATGTCGAAGCCTTGCCAACACTGAGGCCCTGGAAAACTGAACACATGTTCGAAAAGCCTGATTTTGTCAAAACTCATATTCATTTCATCGAGACTTCATACATGATCTCAACTCTACTCACGGAACATCTTCATCTGAAAATTTCTGCAATTGAAAGACAGCCTGCTCTGAAGAAAAACTCTGAAGCTGAAATACTGTGCTAGGAATGTATTCGAGTCTTTGAAATCTTGCAGCAATCAACGCTCACCAAGGATTTACATCTTGTTGATTTACAAGTTGTTGGTGGACATGAGAACAGGTTGACAAGTCACTGGCTCGACTCAAATACATTCACATCCAACACACTCCATAATTGTGCATGAGTAATGACACTACAATAATAACGATTTTGCCCCATCATCGCAAGGAGCAACAAGTGGCAAAATTGAACAACCAACATCAAATCACTTCTGTATACACCGATTTCATAGACAAACCTACACCATGCATCAAATACTGATTTGGAATATGCTAACGTTGATCAAAACCATTCTCAGAAAAGCAACCATGGCATAGAAACATTTTGTTTGTAAGAGATGGAACCCTCATTCGTGCTTCTCTGAAGCATGACCATTGCAAAAATTTTCACAGGCACGGCGCGCGCCGGGGAATTACGGTGGGCTTGAGCGGGGAGATGGACCAAAATTGTGCGAAAAGGATTCTTTTCGTTACACAATAATATTTCAGAACCTTTTTCAATCGCAGTACAAAATTTCAGAACCGTCAAATCAAAATATTTGAGAATAAGAACCCCTTTCGATACGTGAAAAAATCCAGAAGGGAATTGGAACGCCGGGAATGAGTCCGACGTCTGCCGCCGGGCGGCATGGACTGAATCGAAGCCTGACTCACTGCTGAGCCTGACGCGGGCCGGCGGCCGGGGGCCGGAACATCTGGGGGGTCGCGACTGAGTCTGCCAGGTTACTAGTCAACTTGGCAAGCCTCAATCATTGGTTCACTGAACATGGCAGGCTTCAACTGGCAAGGCCGGAGTCAGCCGCACTGCAGTGTCTTAAAGACTGATCGGACACAGCAGTCCGATCCGAGGCTTCACCGCCGGTGACGGTGCGGCATGCCGCAGTGGGCATGACTTGAAATCTGATCATGATACTGAGAACATGGTAGATGAGGCATCACGGGGGTTGAGTTCATTATCGGCCCGGCATCATTTCTGTGCACATGAGTCCATCGTGACTCGCGGCTGATTCAACTGGCCGGCGGGCCCGGGCCGGGACTCCTGATGATTCAGCCGTCACCGGGCCGACATGCCAACCTCAGGTGACATGCTTCCGACAAGGAGGCTTCACCCGGCTTCAAGGCTTGTCCGATCAAAGCTACAGGAAGATAACTTGATAAAAGTTCCCGGCAAAAAACGGGCCCTAGTAAATTTTGTGGTACAAATCATGGCAGTTTAACGGTGGGATTCCGCACTGCCCGGCCCACTTCATTTAAGTTGCTTTTGATGCATCCACTCAAATCTCACCTAAACTGATTCAAATCGGAAAACTTACAGTACTTGCCAGGCTTGGATGCTACTTCAGTGCTTGGATTCAATAAAAACATCTACTGTCACAGACGGTGTCCGCCGTGACTGCCGCCGTGACGGGCCGGACCCGGTCACGAACTTGCGGCGGGCTACTACGTGACCGTCACGGTCTTAGTACTAGGCTTACGGCCGTACGGACGGCTGACAGTGACCGGCCCCGGCCGGGCCGCCCGGCTCCGAGGCCGGAGGCTCAGCTCCGATCCGCGCGCCCGGCCCGGCGGCCTGAACAGCGGCCCGGCCCCCCGGGCCCGGCCCTTCAAGTTTCGAGGCTCCGTCACGGCCTCGTCAACTCATCAACTTGCGGCAGAGACTAAAGGGCCTACTGCTGAGGCTTGCCGCCACCGTGAACTTGCTTTTTGTTCTATCAACGATTCTGAGGCAGGGTGCAGCAACACTAATATGAAAAATTCACTTTGCTGCTCCTGCTCCTGCTCCTGCTCCTGCTCCTGCTCCTGCTCCTGCTCCTGCTCCTGCTCCTGCTCCTGCTCCCTCGGTGTGTTCTCCGCCGCCTCCGCCCCCCGGCCCTGCTCTCCCCCCTCCTTCTCTTCCACCCTCCTCTAACCCCTCCTCCTATATTGTTGGTTGTCGCTGCATCTTGGTGGGACACAATCAGTTCAGCCCTCACCGCCCTGATCACCCTTCAACTGGATCGTAAAGGTGTGCTGGGGTAACGAGCGCTGGAGGCCTCCTTTGATGCGAACCTCTCATCCTTGCAAGCAGAGCACGGTGGTGACGTAAGATGCTCCACCGCTGTCTCCTCATCACCTTTATAGCCTTCTATCTCCATCTTCCACCTTCCACCGAGGTACTGCCAAGCTTCCGAATAGCTCCCGACTACGGTTGGAAGAGACAACTTTTCCGACGGGCAAGGGGAGCGAGATGGCTACAACCAAGGTTGAGAGGAGGCTCGGATCGCATGCCCAGTGCGAGCACCGCGAGCGCGACCATGGAGGAGGTGAAATCTATCTCCGAGTCAGGACACGACGAACCTGCAAGGAGAGTGTTGGAGTTCAGTTTGGACTTCTCAAAACCTCTTGAGTACATGCCCGGTGACTGTATCGGAATCGTGTGCCCCAACCCTCCTGACCTGATGGCCAAACTGCTGGACGTCCTGCTCGCTAGGAAGTTGATCAGGGAGGAGGGCAAGGGGGCGTCAAGAGCTGAATTCAGATTCCCCGAGACGTACGACGAGAGCGTGAGGGAGCGAACGATGAGATTGCTGGATCCGAAGATTGCCAATCAGCTGATGTGGGAACGAGACCTGACGTGTCCTCCCAAGAAGCTGCTGCGCTCCCTTGCTGATCTGTGTGCCGACGAGGCAGACAAGTCGGAGCTGATGGAGGCTGGAATATCTCAGAGGAAGTTTGTGCAGGACTTTGTTTCTTGCAGGTTGGATGTTGTTGAAGTGATCCAGATGTTCAAGTCTTGCACCCCTGACCTCCGGCAGCTAGTTGAGATGCTTCCTCCGCAATCCCCGAGGTATTACTCCCTCTCAACTTCTCCTCTAGCGCGCGGGAGCAGGAAAGGAAAGATCCTGGTCTCTGTGTGTGAAAATGTGCTGCATCGGAAGGGCAGGAGCGCTCCTGTGAGGCGTCGAGGGTTGTGCTCGGGATACCTCGAGGACTTGTCTCATGTGGCGAAGGAGAAGGGAAAGCTGATCACGTTGGAATGCTTTCTGAGACCGTCCAATGACTTTCATTTGCCGAAAGATCCCCGCACGCCGATGATGCTGGTCGGGTTTGGGACGGGAGTTGCGCCTTTCCTTGGTTTTCTAGAGCATCGTGCGGAGCAGAGGAGACGAGGCCAGAGGACAGGTGAAGTCTACGTGGTGTTTTCATGTAGGAGGTTGGGGGTTGATTTTCTGCACCACGAGCAATTGCTAAGCATGATGTCAACGATGGGGAAAGAAACAGCAGGGGAGAAGCAGGCGGAGGGAGCGGGAAAGAAGACGAAGGAGGAGGTGGACGGAAACCAGGAACGGCACGAGGAGGACGAGGAACGAGGGAACCTGATCCGAGAACTGCACGCGATAGGCTCGAGGGATATCCCGAGGGGCGTCATGATTTTCAGACCGAGGAGTCAAAATCTCGGAATTCAGCCTGTCACTGCTCTCGCTCAAGCAGAAACTGAGGCCCCGGGCGACGTTGAGAAGTTTTTCCACCAGGTTGGTGGCGAGCAGCGGCTGCACGTGCAGGACGTCGTCAAAGATTACATGGGGAGGTGGATTGCCGACCAGTTCTTGCTGGAAAGTTCGAACTCAGCCACCGACCCATCCTCCTCCTCTCCTCCTCCTCTCTGCCTCTTTGTGTGCGGGGACGCCGGGGCAGCGAAGAGCTTTCAGATGAGCGTGGTGGAGGCGATGGTGGCTTGTGGCAAGTGCTCCACCCGCGCAGAGGCTCTTGGTAAGATGCGGAGCCTTATGGAGGAGAAGCGATACCTGCAGGATGTGTGGGGAGAACCTCTGTTTGATGACGATCCACCGTGTGAAGCAGCAGGGAAGCCAGGAGGAGGAGGGAGGGCTCAGGAGACGCAAGGAGGGCATGCGGAAGAGGAAGGCAGGAGAGGGGAAGGGAGAGATCTCAACGGAGGGGTTAAGGCTGAGGAAGAACACAATCAGAGGAACTCTACAACATCTCCGGCTCAATTCAAGATTGATCATCAAGGTTCTAATCTATCCTCCTCAAATTCCTCGGGAGGTATAGTAGAAGCAGCAGCAGCAGCAGCAGCAGCAGCAGCAGCACACGCCGGCAACAAAGGCGGCGGCAAAGGCGGCGGTAGCAGCAGAATGGCAGGAAAGTTTGGAGAGTTTCTGCCTGCTAATCAATACCGTCGATTGAAAAGGTCAATGGCTAAGAAGCAGGCGGGTGTTGGGATGTATGTCGGGGGACAGGCCTCCTTCTCCTCCTCCTCCTCCTCCTCCTCTTCTTCCTCCTCTCAGATGAAGGTTGAGATCTTCTTTGCAACTCGCACTGGCCATGCAGAGGCCCTGGCCCAGCAGTGCGCAAAGAGGATGGAGGAGGAGGCGATGGGGCGGGACGTGAGTGTCAGAGATCTCTCTGAGCACCCGCTACAGCCGGAGCAGCATGAAGCTCTTCGAATCTTCTTCGTCTCCTCATGGGACGATGGGCAGCCATGCTCGGATGCCAGGCCGTTCTTCCAGTGGCTCTCCTCCTCCTCCTCCTCCTCCTCCTCCTCTGCTCCATTCCCACTGGGCTTTCAGTTTGCCGTCTGCGGCCTTGGCAGCTCTTCCTATAAGTCCAGCTATCAGAAAGCAGCGCACACGCTGTGTGAGCTGCTCGAGAGATGCGGGGGGAAGAGGGTCGGGCCAGTCGGGGAGGAGGACGAGATGTTCTCCGGGCAAGGTTTTGAGCTGTGGTGCAAGCAGACTCTTCCTCTGCTGAACGAGGAGCCGGAGAGGAGGAGGCCTGAGGCCAGGGAGGAGTCGAGGACGCTGAGGATCCTCTGGCAGGGAGACATTCACGAGCAGGCAGCTCGGGTAGCTGGGGAGATCGCGGAGAAGGCCAGGGACGGAGGAGCAGGAGCAGGAGGAGAGCTCGCCGTGATCGCTGAGCCTCTAGACAGGTTCGATGCAGACAGTCTGAGCACAGAGGAGGCTCTTGTGCTTGTGCTCCACAGGCCGATGAGTGAGGAAGAGGAGGACGGGAACGCGACGATGAGCTCGGAGGCCTGGCTGCTGGAGCATATGAAAGATTGCTACGAGGACGAGAGGGTGGACAAGACTCTGCTGCGGGACCTCAAGTTCGGCGTCGTCTACATCGAGAACAACAACCGTACGATGAAGGACGCGAAGCTCCTGGACTTTTACATGTTCAGCCTGTCGGGGAGGCGGATCCTGCCGGTGACGAGGGTGCAGAGGACGGGGAAGCTCTCGGACCAGGTGCAGGCAATCGCCCAGCAGCTGAGGCGCAACCTCTTCCCCATCCTCCCCTCTCTCCACGACAGCTCGCATGCGGCGTCGGACGGGAGCAGGAGCGCCCGTGATGCCGCTGTCAGAACGTCTCCTCCTACTCCTCCTCCTCCGGCATCGGCATCTCTCACTGACATTGAGGACGTGGGAGGGGTAGAGGGTTCGAGCAAGGAGATGCTGAGCCCGAGCATGCGAAGTTCGCTAGAGAAGCAGGGGTACAAGGTCGTCGGCTCACACAGCGGGGTCAAGCTGTGCAGGTTCCCTCGCCTTCCGTCCCTTGAATTTCCTCCTCTCCTCCTCTCCTCCACCTCTCTCTCTCTCGATCGTATGCGCTTCCTTCCCCAAAGTCGAGGACGAGGATGAGAGTTGATGCAGGTGGACAAAGTCGATGCTGAGAGGAAGGGGGGGATGCTACAAGCACACGTTCTATGGCATCGAGAGCCATCGGTATCCTCTTCCTCCTCCTCTTTCTCCTCCTCCTCCTCCTTCTCCTCTTTCTCCTCCTTCTCCTCTTTCTCCTCCTTCTCCTCCTCTTTCTCCTTCTTCTCCTCCTCTTTCTCCTCCTTCTCCTCCTCCTCCTCCTTCTCCTTCTCCTCCTCCTCCTCACTTTACCCTCCTTATTCCTCTCTTTCTGCAATCCCCGTTTGCGTCTCTCCTCCCTCCCTCCCTCCCTTTCCTGCTCCCTCCCTCCCTATCTCCATCTATCCCTCCCTCTTATTTTGTTTTGTTTCTCATGCTTTCTTTCTTAATATCCTCTTCTCAGATGCATGGAAGCGACTCCTTCCCTTGCGTGCGCAAACAAATGCGTCTTCTGCTGGAAGCATCACACAAACCCGGCATGCTCCCTCTCCTCCCCTCAACTTCTCTCTTCTCTGCACTCCTTCTCTCCTCTCCTCTCCTCTCCTCTCCTCTCCTCTCCTCTCCTCTCCTCTCCTCTCCTCTCCTCTCCTCTCCTCTCCTCTCCTCTCCTCTCCTCTCCTCTCCTCTCCTCTCCTCTCCTCTCCTCATTCTATTCTCACCCTCCTTCATCCCTTCTTCCCTCATCTTTCTGACCTGCTGGCAACCAGGTTGGTACTTCTTGGATGTGGGACATGAACGAACCGGAGGACATCCTGGAAGGATGCTTCAAGGGACACTACGTAAGCCATCTCTTCCTCCTGTTCCTTCCTATATTCCTCCTGCTTCACCTCCTCCTTGCTTTTGTACTTACCTCCCTCCCTTCCTCCCTTCCTCCCTCCCTCCCTTCCTCCCTCCCTCCCTCCCTCCCTCCCTCCCTCCCTGCCTCCCTCCCTTATCCACATCTAGGACTCCATTCGAAGTGTCTCGCGGGTTCCTGGTGTTCTCGCTCCTCGCCTTGCTGAGGCCTTCGCTGTTCGCCATTGCGCTCTGTCCCTCGTCGGCGAGCCCATCATGTACCCCAAGATCAACCGGTAAAGGAGAAGCTGGAAGAATAGAATATGGATCTGGAGGCAGGGGCAGGAAATGCAGGAGCAGGTGTACGAGTAGCAAGAGGAGAGGGAGCAGGAGCAGGAGCAGGAGCAGGAGCAGGAGCAGGAGCAGGAGCAGGAGCAGGAGAGGGCGTCTGACTGAGCCTGAAAGGTTCGTGTCGCTCTTACATCACAACGGGATCTCAACCTACCTGGTCACCAACGCGCAGGTTTGAGATGTTCGATTCTTAGAGGCGATGATGATGATTTCGATTCTTAGAGGCGATGATGATGATGATGATGATGATGATGATGATGATGATGATGATGATGATGATGATGATGATGATGATGATGATGATGATGATGATGATGATGATGATGATGATGATGATGATGATGATGATGATGATGATGATGATGATGATGATGATGATGATGATGACGCTTCA